CTTCTCACTGTGGCCTTTGGGACTGGCTGAAGCTTCAGCCATGACACTGATGTTCTGGTTGATGGGTTTTTGTTTCCTCTGATTCACCCCTAAGAAACCTGTTTGTGAATCTCCTTCACCTTCTAAACCATTTGCATCTTTAATGAGACTTGATCTTCTTTATTTATTTTGTATGTATTTAATTCTTCAGGTTGTTTAGTTGATTTAGCCGTTTGTCCATTTTGGTTTAGTATTAGTTTATATGCATTTTGATAAATAACCCGTTTCTCCTTCAACTGCCTCTTAATTGTTGGGTCTACATTTTGAAAACCTTTGAAGACACTCACATGTCCAAAAGGGTCCAGGTGGTTGTTTGTTAGCTTTAGCTTCTGAAACGAAACCAGCTGCCTCGTCCAATGAGCTCCAGTAGCAGGAGAGTCTGGGTGTACGTAGAGTCTGCCGGGCATAGCTGGCTCCGCTTTGCCTGCTACCATCCTAAAAACACACATGACCTGAATGTCAGAGAAAAAACTACAAATATGTCCGTGTGCGCAGGATTTTAGGAGTCATGACGACTCCGTCTGGCAGAATCTTCATTAATTATCAATGCTGGTGCCATGGCGAGTACAAACACACTGGTGGACTGCACCAACCAAAGACCAGAGGGCATCACCTGGGTACATATTCTGTATGTATTCTCTTGTGCAGAAAGGTGCAGGCTGAAGAAATGATCTACAGATTCTGCTGGTGACAAGTCACGAATGAAAACATGATGTCTGGATGGATTCAGAGCATCTTACTGAACACGTGTTTGAGAGACTGAGGGTAAGCAATACAATACTTGAGCTGTGTTTTGGGTGTGTGAGGTGACATTTGGTTGTAAAGCTGAAAATAAATAAAGGATCAGTATATGGTAATAACTTTATACATCATTATAATGGCTGTAAGAGTAAAACAAAGATATTTGCTGAGTTCTGCTCCAAATGAACGAGTCAGTCATTCCAGTTCTTCATGTTTAACTTGTCAGAATTACCGAGAGGACATGAAGACACGAGACAGAACATTAAGTTCACAACTCAACAGATATATTTATATTTCTCTTAAAAACAAGGTTCAGTATCTCATAATCCAATCTTTCAGTTCTTTTTAAAACACAGAAAGGGTTTAAGTACCTGCAACGTTTCGTTTGCAGGTGCAAACATCCTCAGAGCTGACGCTGATGGTGGCGCGTCACTTCCTTCGTTTATCCGCGGGCAGCAGAGGACGTTGTCGTCCTCTGCTGCCCGCTCTCCCCTCTCCGATGATGCAGTCACATGCGCGATCCAACGAGTAAACCCCATCGTCCCTGTTCATGGTCCCACATCCACGTCTCCTTATCTCTATAGCTTCTTTTATCCATCTTTTGTATTTCTGTTGTTCGGTGTTTATGATCCTTGTGTTGTCCCAGTCCATTACATGGTTTTCTCTTGTGCAGTGATCTGTTACGGCTGACTTCTTTTGTTGTGCTTTCTGCTTCTTCTTTTTCTGCTCTTGTGTGTTTTCAACTTGCCTCTTTCTCGCACTCCTTTCTATGTTCTATTGTTCGTGTGTTGAGTTGGCGTCCGGTTTCTCCTAGGTATGTTTTATTTATGGCGACAACATCCTCTACTTTCCGCGGATAAACGAAGGAAGTGACGCCACCATCGGCGTCAGCCTGATGATGTTTGCAGCCGCAACCGAAACGTTGCAGGTAATTAAACCTTTTCTGTGTTTTAAAAAGAACTGAAAGATGGGATTTGAAACTAAACACAGCAAAAACACAGCAAAGAAGTATCTCATAATATTGAGAAACAATCTCAATTTAGCTCTTTATAAGGAGATGCTGCTCCTTTTCCTCTCTCACTCTGACGGCCTGTGAACCACCACTTTGACGTGCTTCTGCCGTCACAAACTCACCACTTGTTGTCACAGAACTTGTATCGATGGTCATCAGCTGGGACAACGTCAATGAGAAGGATGTACTTGGTCTTTGGGTTCATGCCCGTCACTTTGACCTTGTAGCTGGGAAACATCCTCCTAGATGAAGGCGGACGATTAGACAGACAACACTGTAGGATAAAACCAGTGCAGCCACATAAACCATTAAACACATTCACTGGTGCGTTCTGAGTTTTAGAGGAATTCAGACTGAAGCGACTGAAGCTTCAGTGAGCAGGAACATCTAAACCAAGACGTCTATGTAGCTGGGGGTGAGTGGGGGTCGGTAGCAGGGGCGCAGATAGGATTTTCAAACTGGGGGGGGGACAAAGTTCCAATGTACCCTCCCCCAAACACACACACACACACACACACACACACACACACACACACACACACACACACACAAACAAACTATTGCAAGCGCATTAACTAGAGCTCAGTCAGTTTGTGTAATTTCATCCAACGGTTTACGTAAAAAGGAACACTTTTATATACGTGTCTGAAGTCATTGTGCAGAGGAACGCTGGCAACAAAGCTCTGCCTGATCAACACTATAAATGATAAATGATCCGCACTTGTATAGCGCCTCTCAGAGTAAGGACTCCAAAGTGCTTTACACTACAGTGTATCATTCATCCATTCACACACACATTCACACATTGATGGTGATAAGCTACGATGTAGCCACAGCTGCCCTGGAGCGCACTGACAGAGGCGCCCCACTATTTAATTCAGTCATTTGTTATTCTCCCAATCAAGTACTAACCAAAACCTCATGCTTCATGCAAAACGTTAGATGATTTTCAGCATACCAATCTTTACAGAAAACATAAAAGCCCTAAAAAACTGCACATAAAATATATTTAAAAAACGAAATTCACTCATCACTTAGAGCAGTGGTTCCCAAACTTTTCAGCCTGACCAACAGATGTTCCTTCGTATTTTACGTTATTTATAAATTTTCATTATATTTGGAAAGTTTTTATTTATATATAAATATATAAATCTCTTTTAAATTTTTATACTTTGCATTTTTTATGATTATGTGGCACACTTGACTTCCATATATAACGCAACGGCATCTGCCTCTTTTTTACGGCTTTTTTTTTACATTGTCGCTACGTCTGTCACATTAGAGGTGTTTTGCCATAGTTTCTACATCCATCACGTCCCAGAGAAGGTTAAACAAACATCGAACCCAACAATTGGAGCTTGTAAACTCCACACACCTCTCGTGCAGCACCAGCTGTCTGATGCTGCAGCAGCGTCAATTGTCCCGGCTAGATGAGTGAATTTCTTCATCAGAGTCAATATTCTGCTTCATAATCAGAGTCAGTCATGACCAGACAGAGTGATCAGGCAACAAAGTCCAGACCTGCTGGCAATTATAAGTTTTATCTGATATTGGTTTTAACTAGCAAAAAGATACTGCCAGCAGACAGCCACACGTATGCCAGTGAGGTATGGCACTCAACCTCCTGGCTTGATCACTGTATATGCACTGAGGATGCACATGAATGCATATCCAAGGTGGAAATCGTATACTCCCTGGCAACACCTGATCACATCCCTGTTTCCATAGCGGTAAACGGTGAAACTTTGCCTGTGCTGCTCCAACACCAGAGCCCCTCACACACAGAGAAGCTTACTTGGGCTAAAGTGTCAGTCGAGGATATTAGGAAATATTACCTACTGTCAGATTGTGGTCTGAGATCTGTTAATGTCCACAAAGAAACGCTACAGTGTAAAGATGTTAACTGTGAACATATGGAGCACAGGCTGCACCTATGCACTTTGTATCAAAATATTGTGGACAGCTTGATTATTACCAGCGAGTTCCTCTGCCAAAAAGGAGCAACAAAATTTAAACCGCTTCCAGGATGGAGTGAGCATGCTTATGCATTACATGCTGAGTCCAGAGCAGCCTATAAAGCCTGGGCAGCTGCTGGTAAACCAAAATCTGGTTCAATATTGGAGTCTAAGGCCCTGTCCACACGTAGCCGGAGATCTGCCAAAACGTAGATATTTTTCTACGTTTTGGCCTGTCATCCACACGAAAACGGAGTTTTTTCACACGAAAACGGATCTTTTTAAAAACTCCGGCCAAAGTGAAGATCTGCGTTTTCCCCATTTTGGGTGTCTGCGTGTGGACGGACAAAACCGGAGTTTTAAGGTCCGCAACGTCACTTTCTGCGACAAAAAAATGCTGACATCACGTGTGCGACCCGTGTTTACACTAGCCGACAGCATGGATGCCCTCAGAGCTGCGCTCGCTTTATCAATTGTCCAAGCGCTTTTTGCTTGTTTGTTTTTGCAAGCGGAATTACTGCTCCTTGCGGAAGACCACAGACGAAGGACGAGGTTAAGAACGGGGGAAGTACTGCCGCCTACAGGTCTGGCATGTCCTTAACAACGTATTTATCTGGGTACGTGTGGACAGAGTTTTTTTAAATGAGGTGGTGTGGATGCAGGTTTTTGGAGGGGCAGATATTCGTTTTTTTTTTTAAAAACCCGGCTACGTGTGGACTAGGCCTAAGAAAGCTGCGAACGTTAAGTTCAAGAATGCTGTTCGCTATTTTAAAAGGAATGAGCAAACAATGCGGGCGAACTCCTTAGCGAACAAACTAAAGAATAATAATGTTTCGGAGTTCTGGAAGGAGTTAAAACGCTCCTGTATCAGTAAGCAGCTGCTACCCGCATCTATAAATGGGGTATCAGGAGATAAGAACATTGTAGAAGCCTGGAGGAATCACTTTAGCAGAATTTTTAACTGTGTAAATAGTGAAAGGTTCAATCTTGGCAACATTGACTTCAATCATGGTATGATTGTCAGAGCTGATGAAGTCCGTCTCGCTATAGAGAAAATGTCATTAAACAAAGCTTGCGGCCCTGATCAACTATCAGCAGAGCACATGAAGTACGCTAGCTGTAGAGCTCAGGTGTTACTTTCATTGTGCTTCACCGGCTTTTTGAAGCATGGAATCTTGCCTGACCATACTTTAGATGACCTCTTAGTCCCTATAGTCTAAGAGAAAACTGGAAAAATCGCCTGTATATCTATAACTACAGGACTATTGCTATGGCAAGTGTGTTGTCCAAGGTGTTTGGGCATATTTTGCTGGAAAGACTGCAGAATTTTATAACTACGACAGAGAATCAGTTTGGTTTTAAAGGTAAACTTAGTACTGACTTGTGTATTTATGCTATAAAACAAACTGTAAGCAAATACATGAGGCATAATACTTCTGTTTTTATGTGTTTTTTAGGGTCAATCATCAGAAATTATTCATCAAGCTACAAAACAGAGGGATCCCTTCATACCTAGTTAGGATTTTGCACTGGTACTCTCATCAACTGATGCAGGTAAAGTGGGGGACAGAAGTGTCGGATCCTTTCTCTGTGTCGAATGGAGTCAGACAAGGCGGGATTCTGTCTCCTGTCCATTTTAGCCTGTACCTTGACGAGCTGTCTGTTACTTTGAATGATAGTAAGACTGGATGCTTGGTGGGTGACCGCCTTGTAAATCATTTAATATATGCAGATGACCTAGTCCTCATGTCTCCCATAGCGCAGGCCTGCAGCAGCTGCTCAGGGCATGTGCTAAGTATGGGGAGCAATTTGACATCCTGTTTAACCCTAAAAAGAGTGTGGTTATGATTGCTGCTACTAAAGGGGACCTGAAGCTTAATTTTCCATCTTTTAACTTAACAAATCAGGTCCTCGAAGTGGTAAGCAAAGTAAAATATTTGGGGCACATTTTAAGAAGTGACCTCTGTGATGACGAGGACATTAAGAGGCAATGCGGTAAGTTGTACATGCAGGCTAACACTCTGGTACGTAACGTTGGCATGTGCTCAGATCCTGTTAAAGTGACCCTCTTCTGTTCCTTTTGTACTCCTCTCTATACAGCCCACTTGTGGTGCAACTATAGTAAGGTAGTAATGAAGAAGCTTCAAGTGGCTTATCAGGATGCTTTTAGAGTCCTCATGAAGCTCCCTATGGACCTCTGCAAGTCATATGTTTGTTGTGAGTAACATCCCTACTTTTCATGCGCTTCTGAGGCTCTTCATGTATAAATTCATCTGCCGACTGAGTTTGTCAGCTAACGCTGTTGTTAGAGCGCTGTCATCTTTAACTTACAGTGACACGAGGTACTCCTCAGTCCTTTTTAAACATTGGAACAACTGCCTATACGGTTTGTAATTAGAATGTGTTTTTTACTTTTATTTTATTCTTGTTTTGGACATATCCCATGTCTGAACTAAAGTTTGGATGAAATGAATGAATTAGCGCTCTTCATGTTGCGCGCATCTCCTCCTCTCCCCGACTGGGAGCCTCACGGCGGGAGGCGTTATTCAAACTCTAAAAACTCCCAAACTTTGCTCAGCCTGAAGGTTCCACATCTCCACTATCTTCTGGAGTAAAGTAGTAAGTTCATGAGGGATCATATTTGTAAATGAGACTTGTTAAAGTCAGCAATGAGGCTTTGGCGCTTATAACGAGTAAGTCCCAACACTGACAACAACGTACTGAATCTATAACCAACATGCATAATCAGACAGATCGGTCCCGCCTACTTACACTGTTGGTCTTTTTTTTAATACGCAGTAATCGTTGCTTGCCTTTTTCGCTTCATCCTGCATCTTAGCAGCAACCATTTTGGCGCCTCTGGAGTCTGTGTTTGTTTACGTCATGCTGCATTCAATGTATTTGGAAAAAGGAGCTTCAAGCGCTTAACCTCCGATTTTGTTTTGTTTCTGGCCTTAGTTGGGGGGGATGGATCTGGGTCGATCTGAATCTGGGGGGGACAGATCCCCCCCGTCCCCCACCCTATCTGCACGCCTGGTCGGTACAGAAACTCTTACTGGGACGGCAGGGAGCTGCAGTTTTTAACAGGATTAAAAAACATATTTTGTATTTTCCTTCTGTGTTTTTCTTCTAAATGCTTTTGTAAGTTATTTTTTTGTGAAGAAGAAGATCGCAGGAGCGATCGAGACGGTCAGCGAGGTCAAAAAAACGTTTCAGTGTTTATAAAAGATGATTACTGTTTAGTGCTTGATTGTGAATTTTTACAGGCTTATTTTTCCAAATGGGAC